AGTAATTTAAACAAGACATGCTTTACATGTACTGTTTTATTCACACTAGCTCCTTTTTTCCCTAATATTCAGGAGTTCCTCTTAAAATAACAACCCAAAGCAAATGTGACAATGTGATAAAATTGTCTTGATATATATGGTTTACTGGGTACAAATCTTTGGGTCTTTTTACAATTTTTTCCTGCTGCCTTAGCTTTGAGAACAAAAATATGCCAATTCCTTCCAAGAGCCATGCCTTGGGTGTTCTCCCTGTTTTTTCTTGACACTTCATCTGTACAGAACTTTTTTCTAATAGGGTGTCTGACAAATGTTGAGTAATTGGTTATGGTTTGGCAGTGTTAAGTAGGAAAAGTGTAGATAATATCCTTCTTCCTTTACAGGTGAGGAAATATGTAAAGTGAAATAAGGTCAATAGCGTAATTAATAGTTCTGAGAATGGGGTAACTGGGGTCAGCGAAAAAAAAGTCTTCCATGTAAATAGCTCTCCTCTTCCTTTTCCTTCTCATCAGTCTGAAAATGCCCACTTTGCTAATGTGTTGTGCTGTCTTTTGTAGGCAAAACATAAGCTAGTGGACAGGATTTTCTGAGTTTTGTGGCTGAGTTCCTCATAGAGTATTAGGTCAGAGGTAAAAATAAACTTTTTTGTAGTTCCACCTACTTTGAGAAAATAGGGCCGGACAGTATGTCACAATATAGTTTTATTCAATAATAGTTACATTTGAACACAATTTCAATATTTCGATATATGCTACAATCTGCACTTACAGTGTTTGAGAGGTGACTGACGGACCTGGCATAAACAATTCATGATGTCAACCACGTTCAGTAACTCGTGCTCAGTCTCAAGTTATCACCCACAAATAGCCGTCCTGTGACTTTATGGTATGTTTAAATAGAATAGTGCATGAGAAATGCAAAATAAACAAATCTTTTATTAAAAAAAAAAAACAAAAAAACACAACACTGTAAGCCAGAACTACGTGTTATATTGTAGGAGTTTCATGGGTTTTGCTTTATAATGTTCAGAAGCTTGTACAGGATTCTGTGGGCTTTCTTGGCGATTTTTCTGATTAATTTATATTGTTCATTTAGATCTAGTAATTATATCTTATCGACAGAAAGGAATCTAGATGCCAAGAGTGTAATGGCTCAAAAAGTAGAACCCAGGATTCAGGCTGACAGAAAAGATATCTTTTAAAATTAAACATTTTTATTGATTGCACAGAATATTGCTCCTCATCAGCTGGGACCGGCTTGCTGGAATCTCTGCAGACATAGGTGCTCAGGTTAGTGACGACAAAACTCACAAAACGGAGAACTATAACGAGCATGTGAGTCACTAACCTGGTTCTTAGTTCTGTCCATGCCCAGAGAAGGAAGTATAAACCTGTTGGATGACTTCTCCATAGCATGCGGCGTGAGCCACCCAGAGAGTTCCAGGAGTGAGGCCCAACAGACTGACAAGGGAAAGCCAGCAGAAGCAAAAGAGCAGAAGAATCCAAAGGGAAAATCCAAAGCAGGTCACAAAACAAAAAACAGATGTCCAGATCAGTAGGTCAGAGAGACGAAGAGAGACCAAAAGAGAATACAAGCCATCAAGGGACAGATCCAAGGTCGTTTACAGGCAGAATCCAAACAGCAGTCTGAAAACTGGAACAGAAAGAAACAGACCGGAACAGGGGTAAACCAAACTCAGAAGTCCAGAGCAGAAACAGGTAGGGATCAGATAATCAAACCTCAATAAGGTACGCTAGAGGGCTCTCACACTCAGCTTTCATAATCTGACCCTGATGGCTAGAAACATGAAATTTAAATAGAAGCTGGAAAAGCAGGTGGAAGAAAGGAATTAATAATCCAGAGAACAGATAAATAGGCTGATGGAACCTTGGAGTCTTTCTCCTGAATGGTGAACACCGATGACTAAAAACCAAACACAACAAAAACGGAGAGAGCCCATTGGTGCTAGACGGGGCAGAATTGATGGCATGTTCTGAACAATGTTAATGGTCTTGGAAACACTAGGGTGACAAAACAGACAAGAACCATGATAGAACTCTTAGACCCTCCTTCTCAGAACATCAGGGACAAATAAACTGTCACTAGGGCAGTCACTTGAAGAAGGTTGATTAAGGAGAGCTTGCCTGATTTCTTCTCAATATCAACCATAGTGATAGAACATCTTACAGACTCTGGTATCACAAACTCCTCTGCACCACCAGAATTCTCCGCGTCCATATCAAACACCCTGGAGAGCATCAGGTTTAACATTCTTGGTCCCAGGTCTGTAGACTGAGAAAAGTTAGAGTGTCCAAACAATAGTGCCCACCTTTCTGGTCTAGAATTAAGTCCTAGTCCCATTTTTCTCACTTGGTTCTGAGAACACTCCAGTGAGTTCCCTCCACAGTGACCATAGAAGTATATTCAATAAAGTGAAACCCTCTTTATTCACATTAGATAGTGAAATAAAGAAATACATACAAGCTGCAAATCATATCCACAATAAACACATTAACTCCATATTTAACATATAGTGGAAACTGTTCCTTCATTTACCTCAAATATCAAATTAATCTCAAATCTTAAAACCCTCACAACTTTATTCGCCCTCAAATGCACTTATCATCATTGCTTTTTCAAAATCTACTGCCTTTTATTATACACTTGAAATTACAACAATATGATTGTCTCTTCTTCTCTAAATATTGAGTAGATCTTTTCCTGTAAATTTTCCTGTATATTATGTATATATATAAAAGGAAAATTGCTTCGGTGTGTTTTCAGAGAAGAAATGTGCAAAACTGAAGATGGCTATTTTTCCCTTATTAATCTGTTTAATGTATGTTGAATCATTTATTAAGACCATAGGTTGCGTTTATGTTCACGTACTCCTTATGACAGTTACCGTGCATGCATGCTTAGCAGTAAACAAGAGCTATTACAATTAACCATCACATTATACCTTCTATGATAGAAACAGTGATGACGAGATTTTGTTAAACAAATGTAATGCATAATCATACTGCGGAGAAGGTGGTTGGAACCCCGACATCGGACATCCAAGCCCCGCGCAGCCAGCGGGAACCAGCCCGGGGCTGATCTGACCAAGGGACTCAGACCCCATCCAGCCCCTTCCAGAGCAGCTGAGAGACGCTGGCTAAAAACGGAGTCCCTCAATCAAATCCACCATGAGCTAGAGCCCATGGTGGATTTGACCCTTTCACTGAATGACTTCTGGGAACCACTCCATTCTGAAGTCAGCTCCCGACCTCCATCGGTCTGAAGGGATCATTTTAAGGGTTGGAGGGCACTTCCCCCTAGCTTTTATAACTATTGGGAACACTAACTTTATATATGAACGTGCCCAAAAGGCCTCACCAGGTACTCATAGTTATCCAGTGTGGGTGTTGAAAGCTCTCGCACTCGTCACCTTCTCTGATACGAACCAAATCGTAAGTAATCGTAAATGGTAACCATTGTGGAGGTCCAGCTGAGAGAAGATCTTGACCCCCTGATTCTGATCAAAAGCCAAATTAATCAGAGGAATGGAGTATCGATTTTTGACCGTAATTTCATTCAAACAAGAATATAATCTACCCCTAGGGGGTGTAGTTCCCTGCAGTAAGTTGATCCCACAATCATAAGACCTATGTGGAGGTCGAGCGGTGGACTTATTCTTATTAAAGACTTCTCTGAGGTCATGATGCTCCTCACAAACCTTAGTCAGATCAGGATAACAGTCATCCTCAGCACAAATAGCCGAGGTCTCAGGCTTAGCTGAACGCAAAGAAGAACCTAGGCAGGAAGTGGCCCAACCCAAAATCTCCACTTTCTGCCAGTCAGTATGTGGGTTGTGCTTCGTTAACCAACTCAGACTTAGAATAACAGGACAATGAGGTGACTGAATAATCAAAAATCATATTTGTTCAACATGGTTACCGCTCACCGCAAGTTCAACCAGTTCAGTCTTGAAAGAGGATCCATTCAGTTGATGACTATTCAACCTTGAGAGAGGGATATTGGCAGAATTTGATCAGGAGCTTTATTTTAGATTCGGTCCTCATTCATATTAGTCATTTGAAGTATAGGTGAGCAAAAAAATATTCCCAGTTTACTTTTTTGAACCATTTGCTGTATTTGACCTTGAAATCATTTAAATTTTTATGATCACCAAGCATGTCATTCTGTAGTAATGTTTGATTTTGAGGTAATAATTTGCTGCTGGCAGCTCACTAGAAGTAAGATGAGGGGGTGATGTGCTTTAAGTTTGTATGTATTTATTTTTACAGGCATTTGCTCTGCTGTCAGAGTGGGGGTAACCCCAGAGCCAATAACTAAGGCTCTGTATCGGGCAGTTAAGTCACTTGATTTAGCCTAAGACTGAAAGTACTTTGCAACCAGATTTAGAGCGAAGGGAAGGGTACTACTGTTGGACCACTGGTCTGACAATTTAGTAAAGGCGCTAAATGAAGATGGAAATTACATAAAAGGAAAAGCAATTAAATGATACTCTGCTTCAAGTTAGGGATATAGTAGAAAGGTATCTCAGGGTGAAACTGTCTTGAAGAGACAGAAAATTGTCACAATCTGCTCCTCTGTCCTCTCCTCCCCCCTTGTATATGCCCCACCCCCACTGTTTCAGTCTGGCAGTCAAAATGATTTAAGCCTTCTTTTAAGGGGACATTTCTGTAGAATAACAGAACTGTGGTCTATGCGCTGTTTGACGTCTTCCGTCCTCATTTTCATGCCTTTACTAAGCAAACTCTCTCATACACATCACAGCCTCCCTCATCCTTGCCTCACCCATGCCCCCCACAGCACCCCAACCCCCATCTCTCTCTCTTTCTCATGAATGTCACCTCTACTGATGGTGGCTGCCGAAATTCACACACACACACATATATACTCTCGGAAGCGCTCGCTGACTTTGAATGGGAGGAGGGAAAGAAGGAGGCGAGGGAGGGGAGGGGGGACTCGGTGAGGACTGTGGGAAAGGAGCTTGCCATCCGGAGGCAGAAGAGGAGTCTCTTGTCTGTCTGCGTTCATGTCTCCGCTTTGTTCTGACAAAGACCCCCAGCGTCCCGACTGCTGCTGTTCTTCCACCTCTGGATTTAAGTCAGCTGTAATACCAGTGGGACTCTTCGTGCTTAATTCCATATTGCCACATTTGAATGGGAGGCAAAGTTGGACCTCTGAGGACGGTACGATGGGTGACAAACACTTTGGCTTTTCTTGTTCTTTTAAGAGTTTCCTAGCATCCAGGATGACCTCACTTTTCTTCAGTAAAAGAGTTTTTATATGTAACATAAATTGAGCTCCTTCTCCTTTCTTTTGTCTGTTAAAAGTAGGTTAGCTTTTGGGAATGTAACATTTCGAACTTGGCTGGTAAGGAACCTCTTGATGTGAAAAATGAGTGGGGAAGAGGGTTGAAATTATGTCTCCATCTTTACCTTTTAAAATCAGTCTAACCTTGGTCAAAAAATGTGACTGTAACACATTTTTGTGCTCTTCAATACGTTTATATTTTTATTTTTGTCCTTGACTGGACTCTTTATAGTGGACTACATCTGATCTTACAGATCTTCCCTCTCCAAGGGAACCATCAAACTAAACTCTTCACTGTTAACCCACTTAGTTGCCCAATCTCCCCTTAGGGGGGTTCCTTAAACATCTGTCCTACTCCAGTTTTCTTGAGAAAAGCAAAAAGACAAGCCAGCAAAGGGAGCACAGGGAAGAAAGACACCCCCCTCTCAAAGGTGTGAGGGGGGGCAGAAGATGGCAGCTCTCGCCAGCTCTCTGATCAGACAGAAACGGGCTGTAAAGGACGACCAAGCCAACCGACCGGTCACCAACAAACGCAAGCCCTGTCCCAAGAGCAACAAGTCCTTGTGCCAGAAGCAGATCCTGGTGTTGATATCCAAGGTTCGACTATGCGGAGGTCGAAAAGTTCGCAACGAAAAAAGACCAGGTGAGTTACTTATGCTGTGGCTTTCTTACCAATCGTTTTAAACTTTTTTATGCTTTAAAATGTAATTTCTTTCTCAACATTGTTTAAAGTTACTTTAAAAATTCTGCTTTATAGGTCTATCTGTGGTGGCAATAGTTCAGCCCTGTTTGTATACATATTATGCATTAACATACATTACTTATATAATAATTTCCAACTAATCAAATGCCATATTGCTACTCAACCCGAACCGCATTCACACTGTGAAAATATTACAATAAACTAATCCATGTGAAATACTATAATACTGTGATATTATGTTGCAGACATTTTTCTTAGCTGTGTATTAGTATAAGCATGGGGCATCTGCTTTAGCCAAATCGAAAAATCCATGGTTTTCAGAAAACTCTGTTTACATAATCATACCAGATGTTGGCTTGCATTGCAGTGCCAATAGAGGCGGTATAGGGTGGGATAATGGGGGGTGGGGAGGGGGTCATGAATCTAATGGCTGTAAGCGCACACATAGTTACTTCATCATCAATGTAAACATTTCCTGGGTTGTCCTGTTCCTTGTGTTGCCTGCTGGGGTTATGTGAGGTACATTAGATTATTGAGGTATATATAGTGAGAAAGACTGAGGCAATTTGGATTCCTAATTGTGTATGGAATAAAGAATGAGTGGGTGCTTAGTACGATATATTTTGGCAATTGCTAATGTGTCAACTACCAATTTCTATTACATTTGATATTTTCTTTTGCAATTGATGGGAAAAATTACAAGGAAAAGTCACAAGAGAGGGCTGTATAGGGCTGCATACAGAATACTAATAAATTTAAACAATGATGAATTTTCAAATCTTTTAAGTGTGTAATTGATTCATGACTGTATGAAGATAACCACTTTTTTAACTTGTCTTCCAAAAAAGTTTATTTATAACCTGTAGAAGTCTAGATCCCTTGGGCTTTTCTTTATATTTCTAAAAGATGTAGCTAGACTATATATATATATATATTTTTTTTTTTTTTCTCAATATATAATCGGTAAATATGTAATAATTTATAGTTAGTAGGTTGTTCCCTTTTCTTTTTTGATAATATTACAGTTCAATTAAATATGTATGATAACATTTAAATGCCATATATGTTTTCAGTAAAAAATATTTAAATGACTTTGTCCCCAACATTCCACATAGTGTACACATCTAGATCAGTGGTGGCTGCTGCTCTATGAACCAGGGGAAGCTCAAAAGTGTTATTAAATCCTAACGTCACATATTGTGTTAAAGTGTTGAAACACATAAAACACATTAATACAATGGGTAAAAATAGCTGTTGTGAAGCATTCTGAAATAATAAGCCCCTCCAGATTTGGGTCTGCAGACTGTTATAGCCATATTAAACCATTTCTTTTTTTTTTTTTTTTTTTTTTTGCTGGTAAAGGTTCTCAGGTTCTTTAATTTTTTTGGAATTTATTTTTTTTCTGATGGATAGTTACTGTGTTGTTTTTACTAAAGTTCTTTAGATTAATACTCATAATTTTGTTTTCAGCTAGAGGCCATTTTTAATCATAAATTCTTTGTATTGTCTGCTGGGAAGAAAAAAAAAAGGGGGCATCACAGACAATCAACTATGTTGAACACTGGTGTTACATTATGCCATTAAAAAATCTTTATTACAGTATTTTTTTTTTTTAGGCAGTATCTCCCCTACATAGGGAGGACCTGGTATAAAATATCACCAGAGAAAGCTTGAAACCTTACAATAGTAAAAATAAAAAGAGATTAAATAATATTTTTCATCACTCTATGAACATCTTAAAATTTGAATAGAAGAAATGCATTCATGGGGGGATATGTTAATATTTCCGCTTATACAGAAAAAAAAAAACCTCACAAGGTTGAAAATTTTAAGTAGCTGATTTTCACTTGTCATATTATTTCCCCATCAGTAATGTGCTCTCCTGATATTTAGTAACAAAAATCCCCTCATATATTTGCTATTACCATAAAGCAACAGGCTTCCATAACAACCGCCATAATAACCGCCTTACAGTTTGCTGCATATATTTAAGTCTGGCACAAATCTATGATGGAATGAGATCAGTGACAAAGCACAACACCAACCTTATTTAAGAAGTTTCTGTCCTCTTCATCAACCTCAGCTAGGAGTCCTGTACAACTATGTAGTTTGCAAGGGACTCTTTGAAGGGGTGGCCCTTGCACTGTCAGTGATCTGCAGTGTTGCTCTCTTTTGAGATCAATTCAGCTCAATAATGTAATAATCAATAACCCACCTTAGTTTGGTCAAGGTGGAATCTAGCTTGTAAAGGTGGGCATACTGAACTACCTGCATGTCTGTATCACATTCAGTATCTTCCCTATAAGTAAACATAGTGTATTTATGCAGAAATGTTTTTGCGGTAAGCATTAAAACATCTCATAGTGTCAAAACCTGAAAAAGCTGAAACTATTTGCTGAATCATTCAAAACCGCAGCATGCAAGCGTTGTGCAAACCGAGACGTCTTGCAGCATTGAATGTGCTGTTTGGCATAGAGAGATGCAATAGTATGTTGTAGGAGTAAGCATCCGAGGGGCCAGTCGACTGTTGGAACACAAACGTAGGCCCCGACAGGCGGGCAACAGACCAGGTTACAAGGAGACATCCAGCGGAGGATAGGATTAAGCTGACCCCAAGAGATCAGACCGACAAACTCGCTTACTCAACAACACCTGATCAGACAATGCAGTGTTATGTAGCTTCCCATCCGAACTTTACTGACTGTGGTAGGGGTCAGAGATAGGTAGATACATGTAGATAGAGTTAGGGGGAGGGGGTGGGCACGAAGAGAGGCATTAATCTTTGAGGGGTAAATATGGACCTAAATAGAAAAAATGTAACTTATTTTTGACAATTCCTTATGCAATGTTACTGAAAGATTGTCAGGTGTCAGACGAGGCAAGTAAAGACCTTTTTTAAACCTGGAATGAGAAGCAGAGCTGGACAAATCAATCCAAAGTTAAAATACTCCTGAATCTTTTTTTAATATTACTGCAACAAGAGTCTGTAATTTGGGGTTGTTTTCAAATAAACATTCACAAAATAGTAAATAGTGTTTAAGTAGAATTATCATAAAAAACTGTCTTTTCAAATTTTGTTTAAGTCATTTTAATTAACTTATTTTAAAAGGTATGGTGTGCCTTTGTCCTTTAATTCCATATTACAATTTTGCATGTTTTAGGGTTGATGTTGTACATAAAATATGAACAAGAAACATGGCATATTCAGTTGCGAAAAACATTTATAGCTTCTGATTTTATGGTTCACTTTCTGATAGACTGTAAACTAGGCTTATACATAATAATTAGTGCTGAAAGCTCTATTTTTAGTAGATTGTTGTTGGAAATAATATTTTTTAAGGAGAAAAAAGCTATTAATCCCTGGGTAACGATCATCTGATTTTAAGAAGGACTTATACATCAAGAAAAGCAAAAGATTAGCACTTGATTGCTGTTGAACTCCTGCCACCAGCTTCTTCGGATTTTCCAGCTTCAACCAACCCTTCACTCACCACTAGGATCCAAACAGTCAAGAAACAGATCATGTTGAAGCAGCTGGTTTCAGCAAAAACAGATATAAGGATTGACCCATCACATCAAATTCACATTGAAACCTAAAGTTAAATTAATCCTTTTTACATAAGCAACAAAAATGAGGGATGAATTTGTCTCTTCATGCAAATTTAAGTTTTTTTTTACCTGTTCGCCTATAATATTTTCTCATAAAAATGCAAACTGGAAACAAATATATTCCAGAGCTGATCTGTAATGTTTTATCTGAGCAATCCTTGTTGACAAAACGGGTCCCAGTCAGAGTGATGCAGGTATGAGGGATGTGCATAAAACAAACACAATATTGTTTTGTTATTGTCCCATAGGTCCCACCTTAACCTCCCACACAAACCAACTAAATTAGATCTGTTGATTCTTTCATTAATGCTGACAAAGTTAGATTAAATTTACCTCCAACAAGGGAGAGACAAGGAAGACAGAGAACATCTGCTGGGGTAATGATTAAAGGATAAAGAAGGGGAGGCTTAAAGAGTATTTAGGTGAAAAGATGAACAATTACATTTGGAAGTCATTAGAGCATTAATGATTGCATTTGATGGAAGAGCATGAAAAATGCTTTTTTTTATTGAAATTAGGGGGGTAAACAAGAAATATTAACTTTAAGTCCATTACACTTGATTAACTGATTCTTTTTCTGGAGCTCCTCATAAATCAAAGAAGATTGGCTGGCTGACAACACAAAAGCATTAGTGAAGTCCAATATCAATTTTAATTCTTTGCATGGTAGTATTTTGGATATTAAGTACAAGAAATAATGAGTGACAGATTGACTGTCAGTTTTTAAGCCATTTTAGAACAAAGTGAGTTGCTAAACTTTAGTTGCTACGATGATGAATTTGAAATACACTTTGAGACTAATATATAGCGCAATTTCTGTAGTTTTTATTGAGCTTGGAGTACACATCAACCGCTTCAAATAGAATAACAAAGAAAAACTGTTAGTTAAACTAAACCGGGCAGTTATGCACAGAGTTTCTCAAAATAGATCTTAAAAACAGCACAAGTTCAATAAAAGTCCAAGCAAATTGTTAATAAATTGCAAAAACATTTCTAAAGGAACTAATTGGCATCATCAATTTTGAAGTTAAAGATGGAGCAGAAACAAGGTCAAATAAAGGTTTAGGTAGAACGTAAAAATATTCTGTCTCTTATAAAGCATAATAGCTATGGACATAGATTTAAAGTTGGGCATGTAGAAATAATAAATCCTTTGGTGCAACATCAATTAGAAGATAGTTTTTGCATGACACAGATAATGTAGCTGTTGGTTTCAAATCAGTTTGTTTCGGTGTTACATTTATACTCTTTTGATTGAGTAATTAGATGGATACAGATGAGCTGGTAGTGTGTAGAGGCTGCTACTGTGATCAGTACAATTTTTGACAGGG